CTGAGTGAGGGCCGATTGAAAATGGTCCGCGGGCCGCATTTGGCCCCCGGGCCGTAGTTTGGACACCCCTGATTTAGAGGATAGGGTATAGGTAGATGTAGGAAGGCTATATAAGGGACATTTAAGTTAGTTTATTTGCTGTGTATGCTACATATTTTTACATTTAGAGAGTATAAGAACCACTTAAGGAGTACAACAATGCCACATAACATGTACAATTATAGAAAAATAACAATTATTGCACCTCATTTGGATGCAAAGCCACAAGGAGCCACTTAAAGGAGGCTTAATGTCCTTCCCCTGGTTTACCACCATGGATAATTCCCCCAGTTCAACTCAGAGGTCAGATCACAGATTCACAATATGTTCGTAATGTGGCATGGCTAGAGGATTTAGAGCAGGGATGTCAAACTCAAGGCCCCGGGGCCAAATCCGGCCCGTGACTTCGTTTTATGTGGCCCCACAAGAGCTTGCAAAGAATGATATGTTTATTATACGGTTACATGCCGATTTACAGAAGCACGTTGCCCATAAACTACATGTCCCACAATGCATCTCAAATTTGACTTTTTTCTCAGAATTTGACTTTTTTTCTTCTAAATATGCCTTTTTTCTTAGAATTGTTTTTTTAAATGTTACATTTTTTTCAAAATGTTACTTTTTTTCGAAATTTCACTTCTTTAAAAACAAAATATCAGTTTTAGACTTCTGCTTTCAGACGTTGTTAATTATGAAGTTATTACCCTATCTGATAATAATCCAATGCAGAGGCAATTATGTAATATAATACATTATTTTATATATATGATATATTTATATATGTATTTTTATATAGTCTTAAAGTTACAACCGGCAATTTGAGTGGAACCATAATGCTGATGTGGCCCGCTATGAAATTGTGTTTGACTCCCCTGATTTAGAGGAAAGGGTAGGTAGATGTAGGAAGGCTATGTAAGGGACATTTCAGTTGACTTAAATGTGGGAAAACATGTTTATTTACTGTGCATGATACATATTTTGGCATTTAGAGACTATAAGAACCACTTAAGGAGTACAAAAATGCCACATAACAAGTAAAATGTTAGAGAAATAACAATTTTCTCATTGAATTGCCATGTTGTTTTAGGCAAAGCCACAAGGAGCCACTAAAAAGAGGCTTACCATCCCACAGTTCAACTCTCCTAGACGTCAGTATGTAAGTATTATGTATGTATTTTGTTTGGCCTTATGATGGCTAAGATTGAATGACCATTTTAGTTTTCACATCATATAGTACTGTAAACTGCATGAAATGACGAGCTGTTTTGTTTTATGTATGTTTATTTATGTTTTGTGTGTGTGAGGACCCCAGAATAGCCAATGCTCATGCTTTAGTGCTAATGGGGATCCCAATAAAGATCACACAGATACACTGGGGGTCAGACCCACCACCATCGTGTTCCTCCGTTCTCCCTCCTCTCCTCCTGTCGACTCTGCTCAGATTTCTCGTTCTCCTTTAGCCGTCTCCTGTTCTCCTCGGGGTGAGAGACCGCAGAGAGAGGCAGTCTGCACACGGCCCGGATCTCAGAGGACATGAGGAGGAAGATGAGGGTCGAGAGGCTGAACGACCACGTGCCAGCGGGTAACGCCAGCTGAAAGGAGACGTCAGAGGAGAGAGGGATATTTGGGCGATCAGAATATATTTAGAAAGGTTTTTAATGACACAGGTTAAGCACACACAATTATATAAGTTGTATTTATTAATTCAATTTTTTTTAATTATTATTTATATTTTTAAATCTTGTATTTGAAATATGTAATTTTTTTTATTATATATAGTTTTTATAGTTTTTATATTCTACTTTCTTTATTTCTTAACTTTTAAACATTTTAATTTTTTTTTTACTTTCATATAAATGTTTTTAATGTAATTATTTTATTGCATTTTTTTATTGATTTCTTTTTATTGCATTTTGTAACATTTCAACCACATTTTTTGTAATTATATTTATGTATGAGAAAGTGGTCTTAAAGTCATGATATCACCAGAAGAAGAAATGATCCTACTTACCACAGACATGAGCTTTGACACCGCTGCAGTCATGTAAGCGCAGAAAAGTGCTGAAAGAGAAACGCATTTTTTATTCACAAACACTTCTGAAGGAGGAAAACGCTCGCAGTGTTTGCAGACCTTACCACAGAGTACAGCCAGGAGATGTGTCTGCCACGTGAGCACATAGAAGACCCCCCCGATGGCAATGCAGGAGAGAACGCTGTTATACCCCCACAGCCCGGAGAAAATGTCCTGATGAGGAGCAGCCAGTGCTAACCCTGCACCACACACACACACACACACACACACACACACACACACACACACACACACACACACACACACACACACACACACACACACACGTTGAAGTACAGATACTTGTGTTTAAAAATACTCTGGTGAAAGTAGAAGTACTGACTAAACTTCTTTACTCAAGTCAAAGTAAAGAGGCTTTGAAATGTACTTCAGTAAAAAGTACCCATAACTAGCAGCTGTTTTAAAGAGTACCTGACCTCCCTTTATATTAATAGAACAATAATGTAATTGTTAGCTAATGAATGTTTCCATGGTGAACAACGGCAACATGACAACGTTTTCATTGGTCCCTCTTCTTTAGAGAAGACCAGGAAATGATGGATACACGGATCGTGTTCAAATCAATAGGCACGCAATGACTCTAAATAATAAGGATCACGCCACCAAACACACATTCAAACTAAAGGAACCAGCCTGTTTGGAAAATGAGAGAAGTAGAAAGTACAGGTATTTGTGTTAAAAATGTAAGAAGTAAAAGTTAAAAGTCGTCAGAAAAATAAGTAGTGGAGTAAAGTACTGATACCAGAAAAATGTACTTAAGTACAGTAACGAATAATTTGTAAGGCCTACTCCACTACTTCCCACCTCTGAACCACATCACCAATGTGTCCAAACAAAACACTTGACACTTGATTTGGTCTCCGCTGACTCTCGTGTTACCGACACAGAGAAGAACCTGAGCAGGAAGTAAACATTGTATGAACTCAAAAAGTGAAAATGTAAACGGCTCACTTGAAATTTGTCTTTCCTTTTTGTACTAGCAATTTAAGATGGCACCAGGTGTCCGAAGCACACAGTTTCATGAATGGATGTTGAAAGTGGTGGAGGTCTGACAGTGACGCTAATGTT